TGTTTAGTTAAGTGTAAGATAGTATACCCTGTTACAAGAACATTGAAGTTGTACTGTGTAAGTATATAAAAGCCACTTGGCTAGGGTAGGCAACTGGTAAGCGGTAAGACACCAGGCAGGTGTCAACCTATAAGACTTTTGTCAAGAAACGCCAGGCAGATGTCGGTTGACTTGTAGTCAGTTGTAGAGTCAGGGAATTGTCATAAGGCACCAGGCAGGTGCCAGTATTAACTGAAGATATATATTATATAGAGCACGTAGATCACTTGATTTAAAGACACCAGGCAGGTGTCATATTATCTGTATATTTTGTATCAATCATACCCCCAGTAAAACTCGGTTATCCGAGCACGGACCTACTGACCGCTCAGGTCCGACACGTTACAAAAGTAAACGGGGGCCAAATTGATGGCAAAACGACTGGGCATTATTTCTTTTAAAATACATGGGTTTTTCCAAAAAGAAGAATGTGTTCGTCTAAATCGAAATATTTTCTCGCATGATTCTGAAAACATTTAACAAACAAATTAAAGACAATGTTTAGCAATACCCCTCCACCTCTCCTTTCAACCAACGTTTTATAGCTGTCAATTATTGTAACGTTTATATTTGTAATTTTAAGGTTTTGTCAAAGGTCAAGATGTCTAAAAATTTATTTTTACAATAGCTCCAAATCTATGTGGTTTATAAAGTTAAAATTTTTACAGTTTATAAATATATCATTGATTAACAGATAGAAAGTATCACTTGAAAACAAATACTTAAAAAAAATATTTTTAGAGAAAAAAAAAACGCAAAAAATTTGCACATTTAAAAAAAAAGCACCTGCTTAATTCTGTACTTTTAGTGAAAACCATCATTGCAGAAATAATATATGTTTATCAATGAAGGGCAAGTTAGACGTAAATGGTCTCTTAAAGGCTGTTATTGAAAGCATGAGATGTATAAAGACAAGACCCCTGTAAAATCCGCCATTTGCAATGTACTTTCGGTTTCAAATCTTAACATTTGGAAAAAATAAACAGGGAAAACAACTTTCCAGAGGTCATCGAAGTCCAACTTGCCCTTCATTGATAAACATATATTATTTCTGCAATGATGGTTTTCACTAGAAGTACAGAATTAAGAAGGTGCATTTTTTGAAAATATATGCATTTTTTAAAAAGATTTCTTCTCGATAAATACTTTTTTAAAGTATTTGTTATCAAGTGATACTTTCTATCTGTTAATCAATGATATATTTATAAACTGTAAAAGTTTTAACTTTATAAACCACATAGTTTTGGGGCTATTGTAAAAATAAATTTTTGGACATGTTGACCATTGACAAAACCTTAATGTGTACCATGGTGTTGAATATAGTATACCCGTGTTTTTGTTAAAATCGTTACAATCCTTAGGAAGTCGCCTTTCCAAAATTCCTGTTTTTGTAACCATGGCAACACTTTTTATTAAAATAAAAATGCTAAATGAAAGAATTGTGTATTTTAGTGTACTCTACATGTATACCATATTTTATTGTAATCAGGCAAAAACTGAAGGAGGGAAAGCGATTTGAAAATTGCATACGACAATCAGACAGCTGAAGCCAAAGCCTTATGGATGACGGACATTGTGTAATTGTATAAACTCTTTCTATCAAATGAAATTGACCAGTATATCTAAATCCTAAATGACTGCGTGCTTTGTTTTAAAATCCTCTGTTATATGGTCGAGGGTCCTATAGTCGTGCGTGCCCAGTAGTCGTGCATGATTTTGTTTGTTGTCGTACGTCTGCACGTGCTATGCTATTACATCATAAACGACTGATTTTCAAAGATTGCAGAAGGAAGTGCTCACTCTAAATCAAAAAGTCAATTTATGCGGAAGAAACATTTATAAATGAATCAAATAAACATAAGCATCAATAAAAGCCGCCATTTTGCTAATACTCTTTTTACAGTTTCTAAATATATACTCTACCTCCACGGAAGCGCCACCTATGGACATGACGAGCACATGGCTAATAAGCATAATCATACGTGATGATCACTGGGTATTTCAATTTTTTACTTTGGTCAAGAATTTAAAAAGATGACTTGATAAAAATTGCATATTCCTTATACCGAAATACGTAATTATTACGTAGGAATACATGTATAGAAAGTGATGAAAAACGTATCACCTATTTTAGAAAAAAAAAAAACAATCGTAAACCTAATTAAATCAAATAAATTCTAAAAATGATTGAATTGACCATTGAAGAATAAAGTCTTAGTCACATGAAATTTGTATTCATTTTGTTTTCATTTTTCTTGGCCCCATATTTGCTGCTACATCCGAGTGCACGACTACTGGTCCAAAACAAATATGGCCGACGTAAACCTCACTTGTTTTTTGCATCGATACTAAATTTAATAAAGCATTTAGAAATATTTTTAATAGCAAGAAAATTACACATTTACACAGTAAGTTAAGATATCAGATGAAATAACCAGTTTCATTTAAATTGTACTTAGCACTGATACTCTCTTAAGGGCACTCGAGGGTAGAAGTATTATTTGTAAATTTGTTTATATTTCTTGGAAGAAAAAAGAGGAAAACATATTTTGGCAATTATGGATCTCATTCGTTGCCATCGCGACTGCGACGTCATTTTACTATGCATGATTATATAATTTAAGATTTTACCTTTCAGAAATTTATATAAGTTGCTTTATGTAAAAGAGACTAGAAAATGTCCTGATTTCTATTTGAAATTTTTAGGTGAGTTTTGCAGAAAATGCAAAAATCTCTGGTAGTTTTAGGGTTATTTAATCTGAAAGAGACTTCTCACTCTCTCTTTTTTTTTTAAATTATTAAATTAAATTCCAGATATATTCCATTTTATCAGAAGTTAATCACAGCAAGTAAAGAGAGAAGCGTACTTATTCTATGCTGACAACAATGTTCTCCATGTCCGTGTCATACATCAGGTTTATATATACAAGAGGCCCAAGGGCCTTAACGGTCACCTGAGTACAATACAACAATTTAGAGGATCCATAAACTGATAAATGAAGCTTTGTTGCCCAAAAGAAAGAAAGATGGTATGATTTGCTTCAACAAATTAATTGATCTAGTATATATCTGTCCCCCATTTATCACTATTACCATGCAGACTATTAACAAACTGTCTGTTTTTCAACCCCATATTATTACTTCTCTTATTGGCCTCTCTTGGCCTTTGAAGAACAATTAAAAAGATAAGTTATTTTTGTCTCAATTTTATTCATTTTTTATTTCCAAGTCTGTCTGATCATTAAAACATGAAAGTACTTTTTGTATTAAAAATAAATATTCTTTGCTAATTCTTTTATACTATTATGCATTCAAATACATTATTTACAGTGATTTATTATCAAAGGTGAATGGCAAAAGGGAATAACTTTGCTCAGCAGAATACAAGTCAATAGAGCACTGACCAGGACCAGAACACTTGATTAAATGGTCCAGGTGTTCAAAATTTTGGTAAAATACCTTTGCATAATAAAACTTTTCTCTGTTTGCCTCGAATATGCCAAGAAGCATAGAAAATTTTCAAAGAAATGTATTCTTACTATATTATTAAATAAATAAAGCCCCATCCTTACTGCAGAACATCTGACCCATTGGTCATAACCTCACCTCACAATTTTGGAATAAGCACCCTTGCTTATCATAACTATACACTTGTTTCTTTGCTTTATAACTAGTAGTAGAAAAAAATAATTTGAAAGAAATTATGCATTTTCACGATATAATCAATAGAGTCCCCCCACTTCACCAGAACCCCTGACCTTGGGGCCATGAATTTCACAAATCTGGAAGGGGCATTCTTCCTTATCATAACCATGCACTTCCTTCGTTTGAAAAATACCCAGGAGCAGAGAAGAAAACTTTGAAAAAATTTATGCATTCTCCCTATATAATCAATAGAGCCCCGCCTTAACACCATTACCCCTGACCAAGGGACCATGAAATTCACAATTATGGAAGAGGCAACCACATTCGTCATAACTATGCACTAAGTTAGTTTATTTAAAAATCAATAGCAGAGAAGATTTTCAGAGAATTAATGCAATTTTACTATATAATCAAAAGAGCCCCGCCCTAACACCTGAACCCCTGACCCAGGTGCCATGAAATTCATAATTTCTGAAAAAGGCAGCCATGTTCACCATAACTATGTTCTTAAATAGCTTATTTAATACCAAGGAGCAAAGAAGATTTATAATGAATTAATGAATTTTCACTATATAATCAATAGAGCCCCGCCCAAACAGCAGAACCCCTGACCTTGGGGCCATGAAATTCACAATTTTGGAAGAGGCACTCTTGCTCATCATAACTATGTACTTAGTTAGTTTATTTAATATCCAGGAGCAGAGAAAGGGATTTTCAAAGAATTAATGCATTTTCACTATATAATCAATAGATCCCCACCCTAACACCGGAACCCCTGACCCTGGGGCCATGAAATTCACAATTTTGGAAAAGGCACTCTTTTTTTATTTATTTACATTGTCCATTATATACATACATACATGCATATAAATGTCTACAAAAACAGTATACAATGGATTTTTTTTGCACACACACACACACATTCATACAGACACTCACACTCAATTTACGAAAACAATCCAAAAGTTACAATAAAAATAACACAAAGATTAATACATATCAAAAGTGTTTCTGTATCAGATTGGTTTCACCAGGATGATGTGCTTTAAAACATCTACTGCATCGTCAATCCAGGGTTTTGCCAATTATAAAATCTTCATCTGCAAGATAAAACAGATAAATAACAACCAGAAATATAAAAAGAAGAAAAAACATACATATATAGGGCATATCCATCAGAAAAATATCAAGACTCCCTGGTCTCTAAATATATAAACGATTTAGATCTTTTTTATATATTTATGAAGTTTGTAAAAAGGTAAATAGTGTAAATTAAAGAAGAAATGGTGTACCTAGTGGTGTACCTATTGGTGTACCTAGTGGCGTTTGATCAGCATCATTACTGCGCTAGCATAGTTGGCATATCTAACAGTAGGATGCCAGAGATAAGTACCCCCTGACATAGACCAGCGATGATTAAGGAAGGCGAAGTGACAGGAATTGAACCACCATCCTCCCCCTCCAGTGTGGACAGCACAGTTTGCCCCCTCATATCGGTCATTGTCTCTATCTGAGGTGGTGAAGTACATCCCTGACAGATCACGCCCAGTGTTTCCAGTATTTAAATCCTATCACCTGCAGAAGGACAACAAAAACTAGGCATTTATATTGCATACTTAATTCTTCATTCATACTTCATTCTTATTAAATTATAATGCTGTTGTGTATATGTAGAATAAACTCTATCTCAAAAGCAGGATATTCCTTAGTACATGTAAATGTCATAATTCTAGGACAGGTTAAAAGTTTGTCAGAGTTTTGTTATTTCTACTTATGCTATAATCTGATCTTGATGTTATTTGGTAATTAATGTATTAAGTTGTTGTTGACAAATTTATACTTTATACATATCAACTTGTGTGAGTCTTTATTAACAAACTCGCACCTGTTCAACGATAAATACATGTCACATACCTAAGGTACCGGTAGTAGGTGCGACCAGAAAAAGTTTGTATTTTTCAGCTTCATTGGCAACAGAAAATCGATCGTATAATTCATACAGTCTGCTTCCATTTACCAGTGTGATGGAAACATAGAGGTACGAGTTCTGTCCCTTTGTTAACTGATGGATTAAGTCATTTCCTGTATTAATGAAGGATAAGTTGATAAGTGTATATTGATTTAATTTAATTGAATATACCCTGATCAAGATTCAAATACATTGTAAGATTATTTTATACATTACCCACACATTAATAGACGTGTGGTTCTGATCATCAAGTAATATAGATCGATTTTTTTTTGTTCACAGTGACATTTTGATCACAAAAAAAGATCGACAAACATATTTAATTCAGTTCATTGTCATCATGGAAGACTTTAAAAATGGTATTCCTCCTCTCTTATTTTTTTTCTTTTATATCGTTGCACTGATGAATTCAAAAACGCAGTATATGAATATCGCGGGACACGAATTACATTACCAGGAAATCAGATGTTTAAATTGATTCCAAAATTGATATGTTGATGAAAAGATATTTCTTCAAATTTTAAAACTAATCAAAATTCCGTTTTAAATCCAAATTTTATTTACCGATCCATACTTCCTGTTCCGGTTTACCAAAACCAATCTTACATTCTGCCCAAGTCCTGTCAAAGTCCACGGATCCATCAACTCGTTTCTGGATGGCCTTTAAAAGATGTACATTTACGATGCTAGTTACTGAAGTTCAAATGCTATCGATAGCGTTTTACAATGCCCCCTAACACCAACACCCTCAATCCCAGAAAGAAAAATATTCATGCAATACACCGTTTCATGGTAACTGCGGCATTACTCTTTTGCAGAGCAAAATGATAAATTTTGGTGAAATTTGACGTAAAAGCAATTGTTTAATGTACATCATCTAATTATCTGTCAGCAAAACCTCCGCCAAACGTTATTAATATGCCCTGCAAAGAGTAGTACCGCAGTTATAGTGAAAGGGCTAATTGTTTTTGTTATACAAAACTGGTTTCCTTGGTCATGCAGTGATTGTATTAAATAATTCTAGTTTACTTTAAATACAGATGTAATTATGGCAAATAAAGTAATTCTATATTATATAAAATGCACATTCTTTTCAAAAATATATCACTTTACTATATAAATGTGCTATTAAATGATTATCAAAAGTTTGCCAATTGATTAATAAATAAATAATTATAAATTAAAAACTATAAATAATAATTAATTAATAAATTAAGTGTGACCTTTTTTGCACTAACAAATTATCTTCTTTGTGGTATTCAAAATTAAAACACTCAATATAATATTTCATTTATGAAGCGTTTTTATATAAAGAGCTATGTTCACTTTATCCATGCAATGGCCCTGTCCATATACCAAGTCTGAGCAAGTCTCAATATACCATTTTAATCATCAGTATAAAATAGTTTCCTTCGAGAGTCCAAGTATTGAAAAACATGCTTTGTGAAATTGCAATCTTCATGAATTTTGAAGAAAAGTGGTGTATTTGAGTACCTTCTCAAAAGATTTAAAATATTCCCACACCCCACGATTCAAAAATGAAAGCGTGGATTATAATCTTCTGAAACAGTTCTCTCATTATATAATTTAACATTTTGGAGGTCTAATGGCGAATGAACAGTCACTACCTCTGTAAACTTGTTATGTTTGACTCGGCGTTGGGAACGAGAATCGAACCCGGACTTCCCATTCACGAAGCAAGCGCCCTACCACTTGGCTACAGCAAATTTAAAATCACAATATAGATTTCTTTTATATACAAAAGTCAATTCCGAAAAAGTATCTTAATGAACTATATACCGTCCATCCTCCGTCCATTGTCTTCATATCACAGTAAACTTTGACTGGACTGAAGCCGGTCTGAAAGGGATAAATTTCGTACACACCTGTATTAGTGTAACCATTCTCACGAAGTTCCTTACAATCCACAGGAAGAACTGAAACAGGAAAACAAATTATTTAGAGACATACGTTCACAAAATATGGTCTTTCAAAATATAAGTTTGAATTGCGCATATAATAATACAAAGAAGTTATTAATAAAGACAGGGTGCTGCTTTAGAACTTACTCTTTAAAAAATCAGGCAGAATATTCAACATATTTTCAACATCTTACATGAACAATCATAGACACTGTTCCAAAGAAAGAAAGAAAGAGGTTGGTTGTACAAATGTACGCACGTCTTGTTTTTGATACACGTATTTGTTTGATATACATACAGAAAAGTTACAGAAATACATACAGAAAAGTTACAGAAATACATACAAATAGAGTAGTATCTCCAGCCAGTCTCCTCAGATGTATCACTCGTGAAGATCTCCTTGTGGGCACGGCACTTCTTCATTACAGGATTGTATCCAAAGATGACACAGCTGCCCTGACACATGGCGGCACACTCAGTTAAGGAGTAAGCTTTGTACATTCCTGAAAGTTCTGAATCTGTTTTCTTATTATCAAACTCAAGTTTCACTTTATATCTCACAGAAATACTAGAAGTCTGACACACTCTTATCAAGACAACAATAAAAAAGAAAAACCCCAAAAAGATGACCCAATTACTGCTCATATCGTACTGCGTTTTTAACTCAAGCGACAGCCGGTCTGTACAAATCTGCTAAATAATCTTTCGGCTGCCATCTATAAGTATTAGAGCCTTCGTCTTTTTCGTAAATGTGATTGGTTAAAAAAAAGTATTTTACTCGCTGGTGCGAAAGAAATTGCAGGTACCTCAGCCTATAGTGACGAAATCTAACGTAAAACGAAGTATTGAATATTGCAAGCATGACAGAGGATACCTCTTATATAATTAATGCTTCTATCCAAGTATTATATGCCCGTCTTTGGACGGAATGTATTATGTTATGGCGTTCATGTCCGTCCGTCTGTCTGTCTGTCTGTTAGCTTTTCTCGTGTCCGGCTCATAACTTTAATACTATTAGGCCTAGGATTATCAAACTCTGTAAGGCTGATACTTTTTGGGTAGAAGGTGTTCTGTCCATTAATTAAGATGCTGTGGCCAAATATGGAAAAATCCTGTCCGGCTTATAACTAGAAAACTATCGGACTTAGAATCATCAAACTTGGCCAATTTATGCATCTTCGGTAGAAGGTGTGTCGCGACCTAATTCAAGGTCACTGTGACAATTAAGTGAAATTGAAAAAACTGTCTTTTTACTATTAGATTACCCGATCCAAAAAAATGCAAGAGTATTGCAGTATGCTTATTAAAAAATGTTAAATCATGAATATACTTATTTTTTTCATTATATACTTCTTTAACAAATGTTATAAGAGAAATTCCACCTCTCCCAGGGGTGTAATATCAAGCAATGGTCAAGGAGAATTTGATAACTGTCAAATTATAGAGAGAAATTATGAGTTTAGTGTGAGGAGCTAACTGGTAGAGTATCCCTGATCAAGCAGGTGTTATCTATATGTCTTGGGAACGGGGCAAAAAGAATCAGACGTGTTGGATTAAATTGTAGGCTAACCTAACTTTTAAAATGAATTTGGTGAAAAGTTATTAAAACTTATTTGATATTGTATAATAAATTAATTTGATATTGCAAAATAAACTAATTTGATATTGCATAATATAATTAAAACTAATTATACGGGGGGGGGGGGGGTGATATTGGAATGAATTGCAGCTTAAAACTAGTCTTACATTAAATCTAAAAAAAAATCAAGTATTTAAAAAAATGCTTTAATTATGGTAGATAGTCCCTACGAATCTAAGAGTAATACAGGAACCTTATTCAAATGTTGCATCAAGATTACACAAGCTGTTTTTTTTTTTTTAGAAATCTTGTAACAAAAAAAAATCTTTGTTTTCAAATTTAATTTCAGAATGACATAAATATGCATTTTTATTGCACTAAAAGCAGATAGTAGGTATAGATCCATTCATCCGTTGGGAGTAATGAGTGGAAACGCATCCAGTGAAAGATTAATTAATGGGTTCAGTGTATAGGAAGGCTAGCTGTCCCAATCATTTCTTGTAGAGGATCTCTGATCAAGCAGCTCTTATCTGTTCCTTTGGGAATTAGACAAAAGAACTGCTTGTCAGTTTATAGCATATGTCATTTGATGGTCAGTCTTTTATTTTTTTCTTCATATATTAATTTGATATAGATTAAGTTGTTAAGACTAAATTGATATTGTTTAATATGATATTTTTATTTATTTTTTCAAAATATCAACTAATTCAGAGCATCATGTCTCACAAATCTGAAAGTTGGGGGGGGGGCTGCAGATTGGCATTCCCCATGCTCTAACACAACCAGTTGAAGATCCATAATGTAATATTTGTTATAATTAATGCCTATACCACAGGAGATGTATAAACAAATATTATAAGGAATGGAAAAATCATTAAAATCCTTGCATCAAAGTTGACACGATTTTCTTGCACTCTAAACCGTTTATGAAAATTGAACAATATTTGACGGGCGAATCATGCTGTGGCGGGGCACTTTATTTTGGTTTGTTTTGCTGCGCAACAAACAACAGTACAGGAAAAAGGAAATAAAGTAGCATATAACTGTACGTAGAACACCAAAGCTTAAAAAAAGGAAACGTTTGATTTCAACTGATCAAAAACCAGTAAAGCATATGTGATTCTAGACTGATCTGAGTCCGCGCATAGTGTCTGACTCTTCTTTCTTCTGTTAAAAAATTCCATTAATATTTAGTGTGACTCTACCTAGAGTTTTAGTCCTTTTTATTTAATCTTTATTACACAAGTAAAAAATACAAGCGCATTTTCTTAATTTCTTACACAAGATGCCTAATTTTATTCATTTACTTTTGAATTTATGAACTTGTCTCAATAGCTACCAGAAAAAAAGATGAAGATATTAATTATACTCCGCATTCTGACCAAAAAATGAGGTCAATTTATTTTATAAATTAAGGGTAACGCTATACATGTTTTCTGATTTTCCATCGCCCAAATAAGAATAGCGATTGCATTGGATTTCACAGTTCACACATTTTGACAGTTTGTTTCATACTTGTGTATTGATAAGAATAATAAACTTACTATCTCTTAGGCGTTGACTCTGCATTTTGTTGTCTGTTAATCATACACAGGAGTAAATGATCAGGTGACAATTAGTTGGAGTCTCGATATTTGTTCTAGTAACGTCATTTTTATGTAATTTTTGTAAACGTATAAAATTTTAAAAAAGTACTATCCATGAATTTTTAGTTAAATGAAACATTCGATTTCCTTAAATATATTTTATATTTACGTTTTATGCTAAGAAACAGGCTAAATTCAAATAATGCTTTTAAAGCAATATGATCTGCATTTTTGAGAATTTTATTTTGCTATTAAAATGTGTTATTATGATAAATTTGTATGTACTTTAAACCTTTTTTATCAATTAGACAGAAATAAAGTGTAAATTTTTTTTCAGAATAAAGGATTCTGTACAATCAAATATATAGTTTTATACGAGGAATCAATATTGTACAGGACGATAATAATGCAATTTTGCTCCAATCAAATCTTATAAATAGTTCTTCAATCGCAAATATGAATAACAACAGTTTTTTAACGTTCTTTTTCTGTCATTGAAATAGTTAATTACAATTTTGCTACATAAATTTCTGACATCAAAGTAGGAGCTCATATTGCTTTAAAAATCACCTTACAAAGACAATAAATATCCAAGATATTCAGTAATATAGCAGAGAATTACATAAGTGTGTTTCAAATAACAATATGGAAACATTATATAAATACATGAATATACATAACCGTTAATGCCACGAAAATTTATGATTTCAAGATATTGTAGGGAAATCTTAACCTACTCACTTACTATATGAGAAATTTGTCTTTGTTAAGCATTTGGGATCAAATGGAAAACAATAGGCCCATGGGCCACATCGCTCATCTGAGTAACTTTGACCATGCTGTTCTTTACCAGATTTCCCCCTTGTAATACCTATTTTGGCCCGGCCCTACCCCCGGGGGTCATGATGTGAACAATTTACAATCTACACCACTCCAGGATGCTTCCACATAAGTGTCAGCTTTTCTGGCCCAGTGGTTCTTGAAGATTTTTAAAGATTTTTCCTATATATTTCAATGTAAAACTTGGATTCCCTATTGTGGCCCCGCCCTACCCCCGGGGGTCATGATTTGAACAATTTACAATCTACACTACCCCAGGATGCTTCCACATAAGTTTTAGCTTTTCTGGCCCAGTGGTCCTTGAGAAGAAGATTTTTAAAGATTTTCTTCATATATTTCAATATAAAACTGGGATTCCCTATTGTGGCTCCGCCCTACCCCCGGGGGTCATGATTTGAACAATTTACAATCTACACCACTCCAGGATGCTTCCACATAAGTGTCAGCTTTTCTGGCCCAGTGGTTCTTAGAGAAGACTTTTAAAGATTTTTCCAATATACTTCAATGTAAAACTTGGATTACCTAATGTGGCCCCGCCCTACCCCCTGGGGTCACGATTTTAATAATTTAGAATCTACACTATCCCAGGATGCTTCCACATAAGTTTCAGTTTTTTTTTTTTTTGCCCAGTGGTTCTTGAGAAGAAGATTTTTTAATGACCCCACCTTATTTTTGTCTTTTCTTGATTATCTCCCCTTGTAAGGGGACTTGGCCCTTTATTTTGATAATTTAAACTCCCCTTTGTCCAAGGATACTTTGTACCAAGTTTGGTTAAAATTGGCCCAGTGGTTCTTGAGAAGAAGTTGAAAATGTGAAAAGTTTACAGACCGACGGACAACGGGTGATCAGAAAAGCTCACTTGAGCTTTCAGCTCAGGTGAGCTAAAAACTAAAACGCAGTTTGTACCAGCAGATGTGAACACTGTACATATAATACAGCATTCAAGGCATGCACATTGACATCTTTAGATCTTTACTCTAAAAATGTAGCTTTACATGCATGAGATATATTAAGACTTAAGAAAATCTTTAAAAAATCAATTCCGCTAGCAATCCCTCCAAACAAAAGCTACCGTGACTCAAATTGATAAAATATTAGTGTAATCCCCAAACGTACATACGGATGCTTGCTAGACAAATTAAGAACTATTAAATTATCCATTATTTTGACTTTGATCTTTAAGCACCAAAAATTAAGAGAATTGTAAATTAAGAGAGGTGCAGTTAGCTTACACTGTAATTCGATGGAGTTGGCACACACTTGAAAGCGAAAATCAAGTATTTCATTCACCCAAAATTGCTGACGATTTAAACGAATCTGGAGAAAGGTCCCGTCCTTACATGTATAATCTAGTTAGTTCTTTTAATTCATCGGTAAACATCAAATTCATTAAAATAGAAATTAACTAAAATGGAAATCAAATGAAATGGAGATTTTTTTTTAAATGCTATTGGGTGTGATACAGATTTTGACATGTATTGTTTTTATTATATATTTAAAAATTTCAAATTTGCCCATAATTAAAATAGATATGCATTTCTTATCTGTTTTTGTTGTATATCTGTTTTTATAATATTTCTCAAGTCTTATGGTCAGTAAATAATAATTCAATTTTCCTTACTTTCATTTATTTGAACTAAAGTATTTCTACGGAGAGATTTTTCTGTTCATTTTCCAATGAATATAATGTCAAATTTTAGTAACCGAACTACTTTTCAATTTTTTTTTTTGAAACGACTAAATCTGTATATATAATTCATCGTGGGACTGTGTTATAAACTAATACTCTCTCAAACGAATGATTATGTTCTTTTCATGATTTAACTTCAGCTTCTGTAAATCTTTTATATTTCATTGTGTCTTTTAAAGGAAATATTTCAATCACGTGTTTTTAATTTTGAATTATACAATAACAAGATGTGTTTGTGAAACACTGATGCCCCCGTATGGCAGCTTATGGCGAAGGTTAAAGTTTCTCAAATGCAAGGTTAAATTTTTTTCAAAGTAAGTAAAACGGCAAGGTCAAGGTCAAATGGTGCCCAAGGGAAGGTCTTGTCACAATTGATACACATGATCGTGAAATGTGAAAGCCGTAGAACCAAACGTTCAAATGTTATGACCAAGGTTATTTTTTTTTTAAAGTAGGTCAAACTCCAAGGTCAAGGTCAATGCCACAATTGTTGGTATCCTAAGGAAGGTTTCGTCACAAGGAATATACATGTGAAGTGTGAAAGCCCTAACACCAACTGTTCAAAAGTTATGGCCAAGATTAAAGTTTTTCAAAAGTAGGTCAAACTCCAAGTTCAAAGGGTCAAAGTTGTTACCTAAAAAGGTCTTGTCACAAAGAATGCATATGCGAAGTATGAAACACCTAACACCAACTGTTCAAAAGTTATGGCCAAGGTTAAAGTTTTTTCAAAAGTAGGTCAGATTCCAAAGTCAAGGTCAAAGGGTCAAAGTTGTTGGTATCTAAAGAAAGGTCTTCCCACAGGAAATGCATATGTGAAGTATGAAAACCCTGGCATTAACTGTTCAAAAGTTATGGTCAAGGTTAAAATTTTCAAAATTGAAGTAGGTCAAACTCCAAGGTCAAGGTCAAAAGGTCAAAGTTGTTGGTATCCAAAGAAAGGTATTTTAACAAGGAGTACACGTGAAGTATGAAAGACCTAGCACAAATTGTTCAAAAGTTATGACATGTGAAGTATGAAAGACCTAGCACAAACTGTTCAAAAGTTATGGCCAAGATTAAAGTTTTATCAACAGTAGGTCAAACTCCAAGGTTAAGATGAAAGGGTCAAAGATGTTGGTACTCAGAGGAATGTCTTGTCACAAGAAATACACATGTGAAGTTGGAAATCCTAAGCTCCATCTGTTCAAAAGTTATGGTCAAGGTAAAAGTCTCATAAAATTTTGCAAAAGTGGGTCAAACTCCAAGGTCAAGGTCAAAAGGTCAAATATGATGGTACCCAAAGAAAGGTCTTGTCACAAGGAATACACATGTGAAATATGAAAGCCATATCCCCAACCAATCAAAAGTTATGGGCAAGGTTAAAGTTTTTGCTGACAAACAGAAAGACAAACAGACAGACGGACGGACAGGGCAAAAACTATATGCCCCCGAATCTTCGATTACGGGGGCATAAAAATTCATGTTGAGTAGAGAAGAGGAAAATATTCAAATAAATTATTAAGCGAGGTAATTGCTTTCAATGGTTAAAGCTGAACACGACTCGTAAATAGGCAATCGCCATTTTCGATATTACTACATGTATCTACAATATCAGCACCGGGGTATACTCTTCGCATTCGTTACACCTGACTGCTTTACTGTCACGGGTATCGGCGTGGAATGGCGACCTGTGTTCTTGCTGGTTATCTTGCATTACCTTTGTTTACATTTTATTGCAGTTACGTGTATTAACAAGTGTTTGTATAATGCACTGACCTGTGCAACTGTTGTAAGTTTCTTTGGTATCTTTCTCTCCTGCATTAGAATATTTTGTCGCTACCGAGTGCTGTATAGCATACGTCCTCCTACACTGGTGACGATTGATTACACTGAACAGTGACCAAGTCAGTGGCTTTATATAGGGGTCCTCAGATATAGCGAGAATCCGATCGAATATGGCGGACACATTCCTTTTACGAATCGTGTTCAGCTTTAAAGCCGGGGTTCGCAAGGGATATAACTCTGTAAAGAAGCACGTGTTTTGCGTATTTTATTTACAAGTAACAATTTACATTGCATTAGTACAAATTGAAAACACAACTAGAAAAAAATTAAAACCTCTTATGTACGTTATAAAAATTTAAATGATAAAAGGACCTAAATTAGACTGTTTTCTTGATTTGAATGTTAACTTATTCTCACATTCTCATGTACAGTGCCCACTGTCCAATCCGACAACTGTGCAATCCGGCACACTGGACTTTCCGACCTCATATTTTATTCCCAAAAATTTCTTTATATTTTATATAGAACAGAACACTGTATATTCCGACCACTGCACATTCCGAATTCCGGCGCTTTATTGTCAACAAAACTAGATAATTACATTATGATTTCACCTGGGTAATCCGAAATAATTACACAGGTGTTCCGTAATTAGCCGCTGGTCAGGTAACATGAATGTCCCGTTTGGCCACAGGATTGGTCTACTTAGAGAGTAGTTAATACATGTAGTATGAAAGTGTTTATGTAAGCGTTAAATGATCAGTTTTTGAATTCAAAAATTAGGCAATCAATTCTCTTTATTGTTATTGATTTTATTCTCCCATTTAAGAATAGCATCCACGCGACAGAAAATAAAAAGAGTACATGATATTTTGATTGCATTTACCTTACAGAATAAATAAGATTTTTAGCTTGAAATTAAAATCAAACATGCAGTCAGTCCTTCATAAAGCCATGTCGAGAAAAAAAAGAGTACGGCGAACGTAACATGTAGACAATACACAAGTTGAATGCAACGTACATCTTGTCTAAAAGAAAAAGTTTCATTTCCGGGTTAATATACACTGAATTAAACAAGACTGTGCACATAAAAGATTTGCAGGATTCGTCGGAAGCAAAAATACCGCTTTAAGCTGCCCATTAAATGTTAAAATATCACGATTGTTTGATAGAAATTCAATCGCAATCACAATGTTTTAGAGTTACATCCCGTTTTTATGAAAAGTCCGTGAAAGAATTAATAGCACAGTCTATGTTGAGAAGTAAACAGTGGAGAAAAATCGGAGAGAAATGTAGATCGAAAAAAAAATAATACCACTGTGTAAAGAAGGTACATGTAAACGAAATATTTACTTTAATTTCTACTGCTTTAGTAAAATGCTAAAAATTAAATTGCAACATCTCGAAGCGATCGGCAGTTCCATCTGTTTTGTCCATTAAAAAACATCATATATTACTACAGACTTTACTAATGCTCAAAGAAATGCTTATTAACGAAGGTATATTTTATACAACAAAGAAACACACAAGTATGTCAACATTTTGACAATTAAATACACGTGTACTCTAAACCTAATGAAAAATGATATTTGAAGTCATCTGACACCAATCATAATGCTAAGAAATATTCAACACTGGGTAATCCGACACACTGTCTAATCCGATATTGATTTTATTTCCCGCAGCATGTCGGATAAGAGAGGTTTCATTGTATTTCGTCTGCACATCAACTTTATACAGGGCATTTATTGTCAATCAAGTTGTACGTGTATAAAGGTGTATCGACAAGCAAATTTATTTCCAGACTTTTTTTTAAACCTAAAGATATTCTCATTTTAATATTTCGTTGCACTCAAATCAACGTGTGACCGTTGACACATTAATTGCCAACAGACAACAAAGCAAGTTTCTGCCTTCTTTACGTTGTAATCGCTTTTAAAATTGCACGTGCAATTTTTCATAACTTAAGTAATTGAAAACTTAGTAAATTATTATATAGGCAATATCATAGCGGGGAATTCTTTATTTTTACAACTTGAAAAGAAAATTTTACCGGCCTTGAGTACTGCAGGCCTTTAGATCCGCCTGTAATGTCAGCATGTAATTTAGTGCACAATTTTTCGAGTTAGCTAAATAATGAGTATTTACATGAAAAGTTACACGTTTTTCACCAAAACTGAATTATAAGCATTGACTTCATAAAGTGTGCGATTCGTTTTTTAGATTCCTTTCTCGATAAACAAAATAATTTATATAGTCAATCCTATAATAACTACATAATGTTCAATGATACAACATACATGTATTTAACGAAATAAAAATTAAATTTACAAAATTAAGGAGACAAAAAATTGCTTTAACTCTATTTGAAGTTTCTCTGTTTTCAGTTTACTCTTTACAGAAATTAATTGTTACATTTCTATTAACGGTGGAACTGGTGAATACGCCTTAAAGCTGGGGGAAATGGAACTGATGCATTTGCAGACATATTATTAATAATATCATTTTATTCATAGTTCCCAATTTCTTGGGAGTACATTTTCAAGCCCACCAAGATCATCGTTGATTTCTTCTGCTGCATCCGTTTGTTTGTTTGTTGTTTAACGTTCGATGTTTTCCCTTTTAGTTACTCGGTAGATCTGACAAACCTTTTTGTTTGTTGATAGATGAACTGCTGTATTTGTTTACTGAGGCATTATTTTTATGGCCAGAATGCTGCTGCATTAGAGTTGGCGGAATCCCTGCGTGTACAATTGTTTTCTTACGCTGAGATTTACCTTTAGGGCTTCTATACCAGCTTCCTCACACATCAACTTTATTATGTTTCTTAGAGTGGTTTTACCCATGGGTTGTGACACATACCACGAATCCCCAGTCGGTTTCCTATTTATGTCAATGTAGAAAGGTGAATCTTCGGCTAGCATTTTTTCGGGCCTTTTTCTCTTGTTGTACGATAAATACGTCTCCACTGGTTATCTTGGATTACCTTAAAAATTGTATTTCACGATTTCAATGTTCAGTTCTTACTACTAATTCATCATTTACAAGTAGATAAAAATCGGAATAAGACATGCAATAGGGGACTACCTTTGTCTTCAAACATTTTGGCGCAAAAATGCTCTTGTTTCACCAGTCAGTTCTGTGCGGTTTTTTCTTGCTCTTTTAAAAAGAACTTTTCACCTGTCGATGTTTAACTCTATGTATCCCCATCTAAGATTGATGTGTTTTGTTCTGGTCCGCATTCTAAAGTACATTGAATTGTTATGATATACGCATTGTTGCAGAAGACTTTCGGGTTCGCTATAAAACAAAATACAAGAGTTATATTTAGTGAAAGGGTTTTCCTATTCTTAAAATAGAAAAAAAAAACTAACGGATAATAAAGTAAAATACTTCCCAAAGAAAATTGTAAGAATACAAGGTGTCTACTTTTGTTCTGAATTAAGGGATCTGCCCTTCTATCTTTGTTCCCTTTATCTTGTTAATTGTCGTAGTAGTTTCATTTTCGATAATGGGACATCCCGGGAATATTTAAACTATTTATCTTCTATGATGTTTTGAGCAGATCCCTTCTCTGCTAAAAACGATTGATTTTAAAGTATAAGGCTCATTCGCATTTTAAAACAATTAAGGTCATTAATTCGAATACTAAGAGGTTTTGAATCATTAAATCTTGTAAGATGATGCATCTTGGGGCCATAAAACATATTTATTAACTAGAACTGTCCAAAAGGGACAAATACCCCCCGCTGGGTTTTTCAGAGAAAGAACCAAATCACTAATGTTTTCTAGATGTGAGAGGTGTTCACAATTTCCTTAAACATTTACAGTGAAAATTTAATTACTCATTATATATTTTTATACGTCCGTCTTACGACGGGACGTATTATGTTATAGCGTTCATGTTCGTCCGTCCATTAGCTTTTTCATGTCCGGCTCATAACTGAAATACTATTAGGCCTAGAATTATCAAACTTTGTCAGCTGATACATCTAGGGTAGAAGGTGTGTCGCACATTAAAACCAGGTCGCTCTGACCTTTAATAAAGACGCTATGGCCAAATATGGAAAAATCATAAGTAGAAAACCATTAGACTTAGAATCAAAAAACTATGTCTTTTAACTTTTAAATTACACAATCCCAAAAGATGTCAGAGTATTGCAGTATCTTTATTAAAAAAGTGTTAAATCAAGAAAATACTAGTCTTATTTTTTTCATTATGTTCTTTACAGCAATCTGTAACAACAAAAATTCCACCTCTCCCATGGGTGTAATGATCAGGCACTGGTCAAGGAAAATTTTGATAGCAGAAAATTGCATGTCAAATTAGAGATAAATTAATGAGTTTAGTGTGAGGAGATAACTGGCAGAGCATCTCTGATCAAGCACATCTACATCTCTTGGGAAATGGGCAAAAGGAATCAGTCTCTTAATTAATTGCTTTTGTTGTATTGAATTGTTCTTGTTGGCTAGTCTTACTTTCAAGATAAATTTGATGTAATTAAAACTAATTTGATATTGTATATAATAATTAAAACTTATATGATATTGTATAATATAATTTAAACTAATTATTTATTGTACATTTTTTATTTGAATTTTTATATCTTTACAACAAATTGCAGACTGCCTTGTCTCGCTAAGATGTCATTTGAACAATTGAATCTAAACTGTTTATGATAATTTAACAATATTTGATGGGCGTATCATGCTGTGGTGGGGCACTTTATTTAATGAATGAAACTAAGGTGCAGCCTAATAAAACATCAACACTAATAATTACAGTGTTTTTTATTACATCGAAAAAATAGTTTGCAACTATCTGCCATCTTTGTGAGACATGACACACTGCAAATTGATTGTTGAAAAACAAAATATCATAATTAATTATAGAAAATCAAATTGATTTTAATACCTTTATATCAAACTCATTTTAAAAATAAAAGGCTGGTTTAAGTAACTATGTATTTTGACAGACATAAATTACAATTCAGAGACTTAGACAACAGAGATCTTTATTTCTTTCTGCCCAATTCCCCTGAGATATAGATAAGACCTGCTTGATCAGAGATGCCCTAACAGCTTCCCACACTGAACTCATTAATTAATCTTTAACTGGATGCATGTCCACTCATTACTCCCAAGGGACAAATGGATTTACACTATCTGCTGTGTAATGTAAAAACTGTTTTTAATACTTTGTGTTTTTTTTTTTATAGTTCTAATGAGTAGTTTTAAGCTGTAGTTCATATTTTTGTACAGATGTTCTAGATTCTATGTCTCAAACCTTAGACATGAACCCGAAATGACCAAGTCAATAAAAAAAAAAAAACACCTGTAAAATGCAGAAAAATTATCAAATAATGTTGAAAATACCAGGTGCACATCTTCATATGGTAAATAATAAGTGTACAAATTTTCATACAAATCTATGCAATAGTCTCTGGGAACAGATCCAGACAAAACCACAAAATAAAAATGAAAAAAAAACCTGTAAAATGCAAAATAATTATCCAATCATAATGAAAATACCAGGTGCACACCTTCATATGGTGAATAATAAGTGTACAAATTTTCAGACAAATCCTTCCAACAGTTTCCAAGAAATGGTCCGGACAAAATCTCGTCTACAGACAGACGGACAGACAGACGGACATGCTGATTCCAATATACCCCCCTAAACTTCGTTTGCGGGGGTATAAAAAGTAAGTCACAGTGACCTACTTTTGGAACTTTGCAGGCATTCGATTTCAAAGCGTTTTAGAGGCATAATTTGGACATTTTAAGGCCTATGATCATAAAACTTTGTAAGTTGATGCATCTTGGGTCCTCAAAAAAAAAACGTCAACTGAAAAGTAGGTCACCGTGACCTACTTTTGAAATTTTATGGCTATATTAAAATATTTTCGGGTACAATTGGCTTAGAATCGTCAAACTTTGTCAGTTGATGCATCTTGGGTCTTCGGAGTAAGTCGACTGAGAAGAGGGTCACCATAACCTACTTTTGAAAATTCATGGCTTTGATTAAATATCTCAGGTACTAATTGGCTTAGAATCATCAAACTATGATGATATGGAAAAAGTCCAGGATTTAGAGATTTGTGATACTGAGGAGGTGATGGTCTTGACTTATGTGTGTTTCGAACAAGCTAAACAAAAAGAACTTTTGTCTTGGAAAAACAACAATGTATATGTTGAGGAGAAGGAAATTGGCCAAAAATGTATTTCAACAAGGTGGATTTGCAGTCTCAAAGACACAGATGAAGGAACTAAACGCAAAGCAAGGCTCGTGGCTAGGGGATTTGAAGAAGTAGACAGAGAAGACATTCCAAAAGAACCATTTTGTGGTTCAGATTCTGTCAGACTTGTCCTAACTGTATTTGCTCAAAGAAACTGGAGCGTTCACACTATGGATATTAAGACAGCATTTCTTCAAGGTTCAGAAATTGGACGCAAGATTTACGTCAGACCGCCGCCAGAAGCTGGTTGTAAAGGTGTAGTATTGCAACTGCGTAAATGTGTGTATGGGCTGTCTGATGCTTCTCTAAGCTGGTAGAACAGGGTCAAAGATGTACTTATTGGCAGTGGTGCAGAGGTTTCAAAATCTGATCCAGCAGTTTTCTTTTGGAAGAATGGTGACCAAAAAGTAGATGGAATTCTTGCTTGTCATGTAGATGACTTCTTATGGGGAGGCTCAGCTGAATTTGAGAACAAGGTGATCAAGGAAATAAGAAAAACTTTTCTTGTTGGAAAGGAAGATGGTGATGAAAACAGTTCATTTTCATATGCAGGAATCGAATTGTCCAAACATAAGAAAGGTATTGAACTTAGCCAGGATAACTATCAAAAGAACATTCAGTTCATCCCTATTGATAAGAGTCGTCTTGTAGATAAAGAGGACGCACTGACATTAACAGAAAAAGAATGCCTTCAGTCAAAAATTGGACAGATACTGTGGATAGCTCGACAAAGTCGACCAGATGTTATTTTTGATGCATCCAATCTTGCCACAAACTTGAAAAGGGCCAATGTTCAGACTTTGATTGAGGCGAACAAGATTATCAGAAGAATCAAGTCGGAGACGGTTACCCTGAAATTTCAAAATCTTGGACAGCAAAGTGATATGAAGCTTGTGATATTTTGTGACTCATCCCTTGGGAACTTACCTGATGGAGGAACTCAAGGAGGACATTTTATCGCTCTCTTTGGGTCTAATGGACTCTTCTCACCCTTAACCTGGTAGTAAAAAAGAATCAGGAGAGTTGCAAGAAGCACACTTGCAGCAGAGACGCTAGCAATGGCAGATGCCATTGACAGTGGAGTGTACTTGGCTTCACTTTATGGAGAATTGACCAACAGACCAAACTTATCCATTATTTGCGTAACTGACTGTCACTCTCTCCAAGATGCAATTGAATCAACTAAGCAAGTATCGGAAAAAAGACTGAGAATGGAGATTAGCGGTATTAGAGAGTTGATCCAGCAAAAAACAATCACAGATTTAAAATGGATAGAGAGCGAAAGTCAGCTGGCTGACTGTTTGACAAAGAAGGAAGCATCGTTGTTCTGACTCTTTCCGGATTGTTGTATTCTATTTTTAGGTTCTCTGTTTTATATGCGCCTAACGTTAGAAAAACGTTGGTTATACGTTCAGCAGCATGGCATGGCTGCTCACGACTTCGGTCGTCTTGTTATTCAATTGCAGCTGAGTATGTGTTCCCATGGTGTAAGTAATGTTATTTGTGTATTTTGTATATTGTGTATGCTCTGTATGCGGCTAAAAAGTTTTGTAATGTTTACATTATTTCCGGTGAGGAAATTCACACGTGCGCCATCATTTCGTAAAATGGTCAATATGAGAAATTATATTTGTAAGTTTATTCAGATATGTGTAAGCAATTATGATGTTATTATTATGAGCATA